AGCCTTCCCTTATCACCATTATGATCAATTGAATGTCGATTTCAATAGTTTTATTGGCATGAGGTCCACAAGTGCTGCCAAAGCTGACATCAAAACAATCATTTAGGTGCAGTGTTTAATCACTAAAGCTTCAGACTCCCTTTACAATATTATTGGTTTGTATTTCTTTACCTTTTATTGGAGCGCTTCATCAGAGTAACATGCAGGATGAGGGGCTCGGTGTTTGTATTCCAGATAAAATCCCTTATAAATAAAACAGGAATATATTTATAGTAATAGTAATACTTTGAACTTATTCACTGACTTTCATGTGAGGATCTAAAATGATTTAAAAGGTGGGCAACTTTTTAATCCCCCATTTTACAGAAGGGGAACTGAGGCACATAGAAGTGAAATGACTTGTGCAGGTTCACACAGGTTCATGGGCTTGGTCAGGAGTAGAACGCAGGTCTCCTGACTCCCAGTTCTATTGCTCTAACCACTCAGAAATGTTGCCTCCTGATGACACAAACATAGTGGTTTTTTTTTTTTAAATCTTCTAAACATTGTGCATTTGTCTCTAGAAAAGTCCTGACTGAAGTAAAACACACTCTCATAATTGAATCACATTAGATGTCACAGATCCCTATAGTCACAGGCTGTAGCAAATTTGTATTGTAGAATCAATATATTTTTTACAATCAGAGCCTGTGCTGAGCCTCTAATATTAGAGACAGCCTCCATGAAATATTACATTGATTACACTGCAGAAGTTGAGGACAAAATAATAACCCCCCACTGGGAGAACTAGGTTTATTTATTAGAATAAGTGTCTTCAATACAATAAAATCCAAGTTTCATCCCTTAAAACACTATTATAAATACCATAAAAATGCATTTCACTTCCCATCAATCAAGCTGCAATGACTCATGCTTTACGGAGCCCTGAATAAAGGGGAATGCCCATCGTTTTCCTTCTTATCTTGCTGTATTAAGTACTTGTCTAACTCCTGTGATGGGATTACGATGGGGTCTGAATCATCTCTCCCTAATAAAATCCAATGGAAGATTTTGGCAGCTCTGTTGTTCAGAGAGGGTAGGCTGCAAGGTTAAGAATAATAGCCCTTGTCACTTCATATAGCCTTGTTATTAGAGATATTTAGTGCTGAGGCTGGACTGTAGGGGTAACCGCTAGGATGCGATGATGTTGCTTCCTGCATCAGCGAGCACAATATTGATTGTAAGCTGTCATCCCTTGTGCATGCTTTGTGGTATTCCAATAGTCTCAACCAGACCATAATGCATCAGGCGAGTCTCTCACACGCTGTATTAACCAACACCGCTATAAAATCTTGGTTACCATCCCTTAATACACCTCTAGAACATCCTGCCACCTCTTCTCTGGTTACAGCAAGCATTCAAAAATCAAGCTGGATGGCTCTTCACATTGGAGCATCAAGGGCTAAATAAAATAAAGCAGGGTGCAAATCCTTCACCGGTTGTTTTATGGCCTTTGGCAGGCCAAGTATCAGTATCTCCCATTGTAGAGTTGCTGGTACTCAGCACATCTCAGGGTCAGGCCAATAGTTTTGTGCATTGATCCTGGTTTCTGTAAATGGCCATAAACAACAACAATGCCCAGAGAAATGCCCATATAACTAGGGAAACGTTTGCTGCACTAGAGAACATGAGAGGTGAATTCAGCTGTTAACAAGTAGTGCAGGAAAACAAACCAGAAAGCTGTACATTTCACCGTGTTCCCATTGTATTTATAGGTGTAGTGGTAGGGGCTGCTCAGGGCGGGCATGACAGACATTGCCTTGTTACATGCTCTGAACCTATTTACAGTAGCATGTGCTCATTCGTCATTTTCACCTGTGCCTTTTCTGAAGTCGCCAGTCTCCATTGACCTGTACTTTAGGACTTCTCTAAAACTTGCCATTCACCAGTTACGCCGGGGCTGTACTGATCCTCACAGAGAGCCATGAGCATAGTTACTTTTCCTTCATAGGGAGAAACCTTGATAAGTCCTATGGCATGTCTGTCATGGCTGTGGAACTTCATCACAAAGGTAGGTATGTGTGTGTGTGCGCGCGTGCAAGAGAGAATAGGGACAATATAAAATTCTTGGGTCCAATTCTTTTCTCACTCCATATGAGCAACTACCATTGATTTCAATGGATACTGCAGCACATTGGTGAAACAGGCCCCTGTCATTAGCAGACCCTTTTGAAAGTGCGGTTATACATGTTTCCAGGCGTTTTAGAAACCTCAGACGGAGCCACATGCTGGCAGTCAATAAGCGCTCTGTGCTTTGTCTCTCACCAAACACACCTCTCTTGGGTGCTTACTAAAGGTTAATGGCAATAATGCCAAGGCAGAAGCAGACTCACAGGGAGCTTGATATGATCAAGTTGTTCTGTCAAATCTTCTTGAGGATGGTTTGTTTTTCAGTGTTCGCCTCATTCCCTGGCTGGTCTTGAAGCCTACAGGTGTGATTAGACGGTAAGGGAAGGCTTTCCCCCCTGATACGCCATCTTGGTTTAGGATTCCCTGGATCCTAGAGGGAGCAAGCTAAGCACAGCTGCCATATTTAGCACCACTGGATTGTGGTGCAGCTGCCCTGCCTACCCCTCTACTTGCAGCCAGTAGGCATAAGGGAATTTGGTGGTAGTGGGGGGGGGCATCTTTTTGATGAATGCACTTCCATTGGGGTTGTGGTGCCATGCCTTGACTCCACCCATCACCACAACCTTTCTGCCCTCTCTGAGCTCACCTCTGCTATATGGCTGCCACATTAGCGAAGCTCTTTGCACTGGATGCAACAGGATCACCACACTGCTCAGCACTGTTGTGGATCCCATCCATGCAGTAGCACAACCTCTTGTGCCTCTGGCAGGATCAAGCCTGTACTGACCTGGGATAGAGACCAACCAGCAAACTGGAGGTGAAAGGCTCTATTTCCCACTACCACTCTCTGAGCCACCCTGCCACCCAAATTACCCACACATTCACTAAGACAGGAGGATTTATTAGGTCCCTCTGACATGCCTAGCAGCACTTCCAACAGCATGATCAGAGACTGACAGACAGCTGATTTTGAGTCTCCCCAGGAACAATCCTGGCATTAAAAGTTTAAGCTCATGCAGCATTTAGAAACCACATCAATCAGTGAAACCACACCAATACACATTTGAGACAATTTTACTTCTGATGCCAGAGTGCAGGCTCTCTTTACAGGAAATTTAAAAAAAAAAAAAGACGTTTACTTTTGCTATTTTTTAATCATTTCATTTTAAAAAACAGGTTACTCCTGAAAGCAATTTTTTGTAATAAATTTATAAGCCAGCATAATTTTTTTCCTTTGTAATCATTCCTTTAAACAAGGCAAACTTATCTGTTCCTGTCCTGAGCAGTCTCATGAACAGCTGACAGGGTATTAAGTAGTTAAATAATAATTAGAAGCTTGGTTCCAAGTACTTCAACAGTGACTTCCTCCTGCCCCAGAGATATTAAGTGAAGGTCCCCAGTAGCTGTGCAGTTTGTGTAATTTCCTTATGGTATTTATGTCCCTTGAGTAAGTGGCAGTCAGTCTTTCTTGTAAAGTATAGGACTCGGTAAGTCTTGCAGGACATGCTGGAAATCCAACTCATGCCTTACAAAAGAGGCTTTAAAGAGTATGCTTTGCCTTTAAAAAAAATCTAGTAAATTTCACTGCAACAATCACAGCTGTTGTCTCTTTTGCCCAGGGTTCACAAGCTGCAAGAATGCACAGCACATTGACCACCATGTAGCCACCTACAGATTGAATAAAATTTCAGTTTTATATTGTACAATTGCTCAGATAAAGAAGGGACCTGAGTAATCCTTAGGGGCAGCCTTGCCAAGAGGAAGAGCTCTTATTTATTACTATTATACCACAGAACCATGGATACCCTCTCTTCAAAGCGGTCAGGTGCAGACAGCAGTATGTGGTGGTGGTGGTGGTGGTATTTTTTTTTCCACAATGTCATAAATTAGTAACTTAGATTGTGTCATTCAAATATAAATAAATAAATATTTTTTTTTAAAAAAGGAAGAGCGAGACTCAGTCATAACATGCAAGAGATTAAAACAGAACAATTAAAAATGACCAAAGCAAAACACAGGAAATGCAGACGAAAAGCCCAGATTCATTTTGGTTTGCAATAGATGCATTTTGGAAGCATTATTTATAAAGGTATGTCATATACCAAAAAAAGGCACCACAGTATCTACAGAGCCAAATCCTTAAGAGTTTCTGTGGGATGCGAAGGAGGAAGGTAGCAGCCTTGATTAGAGTGTAAAGTTGAACTTTCCCTCCTACCTCCCCTTCCCCTCCCCCCCGATTTTAAACCTGTCCACTGCAAATCTGATCTTTCCATTTTATGTTTGGTTTCGCTATCTCCACGTGGGGGGGGGGGGGGAGGGAGGGAAAGAGGGGGGGAAAAAAAAAAAAAAAAAAAAAAAAAA